ATTTTAAATATTTAGTCCCCTTAAACATAGTTTAAAAGTTTTTATTTTTTACTGCTATTTGGTTTTAAGTCTGCTAATTTTATATGTGCCAAATAGTTTTCCAAATTTCAATTAATGATAAAAATAGGAGAAATTGTGTTCATAAAATTAAAGAAAAAATTATAACTTGCATTGTTATCAGATACAGTTAAAATGTAAGTACTCCAGTTAGTCAAGAAAATTTGAAATCTTGGTTAACAATAAATTTCTATTGGTGACAAATTGTGCTAGTAGTTTAAAGTAGTAGTTTATAAAGGCGCTTGATTTTTGAATTGAGATTTGGCGAAGATTTGATCAAGACAAGATTAACGATACTCTAGTTATAAATAGGATACTCTAGTACTCTAGTTAGAAAATGGTCTAAATGCTGACTAATAAAAACTTAACTTGTCTATAAAACTTAATTTGATTTGGCGATCAGAAAAAGATAAGAATCTGGTTTATTTTGCAACACAGAGCTCCAGTTTAAATTTTAAAGTTCAACAGGTAAATGACTTCATTCAAATTTCGATAGACAGTCAATAATATCGAAAATAATTTTGCCTATAATTGTTGGAAAACGATTGAAATATGTCTAGACATCAATTAAAAAAGAAAAGCTCCTATAGAGATTTAAGCGCCCTAACTAGTCGAAAAGTGGTCGGGATTTTGGCATCAAGAATCCTTTTTTGAAGATACAAAAAAGAGGTAATAAAAAAGTAGAACAGAAAAACACAAAAGTTTTAAAATTTATTTTTTAATATTAACCAATATTTCACTATTGTATGTTCCATTAAAAACCACAAAATGTATAAATGAATACTTCTAAATAGTAGAAACATTCCTTGTAACATTCTTTTGATTAGGATATGCATTTAGCATAATGGGTTTTATGAATAATAAAGGTACCCTTCTTGCTAGCTGAAGCTCATCAAGCAATCGAGAAAGATTTTTTGATTTTTATTACTTTTTTTAATCATCATGTCATAGGTTTGCTATTGTCAAATATGAATTACAAAATATTATCACCTCACTCAATTTTAATATTATATAGTACAAGATATATGATATAATATCTGTATGTTGACAGTAAAATTAAACTTTTTTCTTCTTCCAAAACATTTAGCTTTAATATAATTTATAACTAATACTTACAAATGATCTTCTGTATTTTCCAAACATTTAATTTGTAGCAAAATTGGTATAGACAATATAGATTTCGAAAGTGTTAATATGTTCTTTGAATGATTTAACAATTCATTTTTATTGATTATTTTTTAATTCTTGAGAAACGCGACTTTTTAGAACCTTTATTTAAAACTGAAATTTTAATTTTTTATATCTTTCTTCCTCTGTTTTAAAACTGAAGTTACTTTAGTTTAATTTAGAAAAGATTTAAATAGCAATAGCTATTCAAAACAATTTTTAAGCAATTAACAAAATTATTTCATTAATACCAAACGTTGTGAACCATTATGCAACCTGATATAGTTATTTTATGTAATAAATGTATCGTGATAAACTGTTCTATTTCTCGTAGAACAAGTTGCTCAAATCTATCAACAATAATCCTCTAACTACCTTTCTTAGGCCTACAGAGCATGCCACATAGTATTGTTTGCTACAAGTTTAGCAATTAGTTATCTCAAACTAATTTTCAGTTTTTTTTAATTTTTTCCCATCACACTTCATTGTTTAATGTTTCCTATTATGATAAATTGTAAGTGGTTAATTTAAATATGACATTAAATTAACCTAAACCGTCGGAGATGGTTACGGATACATACTTAGCATAAACAGTATGATTTAAATTATTTTGAAACATTTCGTAAAGAAAATATTGAAAAAAAAGCAAACGATGACAATTAGAGAAAATTATCCTACCATATTCTATTCTGTTTTATTTTATTCTATTCTGTAATCATAGTTGTTTATCACGCTTTCTGATTAATGCATCTTATGGTGGTAATAATTTAGACCTTAAATTTACAATTGCATTCAAGGATAATTTTAACTTATCTAACTCTTAATATTTTTAAACAATTTTTTTTCTAACATTTCTCTATTTATATAAAAGTATAAATATCGATTAAATGTGTAGTTGTGGTCAAAATACATATTCATCAAATAATATAAAAATATTAAAGTATACATTTTGTTACCTTTTTAAATGTAAAAAGAGATTTTCTGACAAAATTAGGATATTTGGAAACTACATATTCCATGCAATTTAGACAATAAAATGTCTAATGCAAATTAAATAGAAATTAAGCTTTTTTTGTTACTCCAAAATTCAGACAATTTTAAAATCACAATTAAGCCTATCTGTACATGATCAAAAGTATATATAGTATATAAAATATTATATGTACAAACTAGTATATCAAACTATTTATCTATTCTCTTTTTTATCTATCTTTTCTATTTTTCTACTTTTCAAACTATTTTTAGACAATAAAATTTTTAATGCAAATTAAACAGAAATTAAGCTTTTTTCATTACTCTAATTGAGATAATTTTAAAATCTTAATTAAGTCAATCTGTCCAAGGTCAAAAGAATGCAATATTATGAATGCAAATTACTGTATCAAACTATTTATCTTCACCTCCCAGGAGTAAAAAAGGGGGCTAGGGGACCTTACTAAAATATTTTAATTACCTACTAATGGTTTTAGATAAAATTAATTTTGACTCATACGGCGAAATTTTATTTGTGGATAAATAATTTGAAATGATGTACGTCAACTCAATGAATTACGAAATTAATTGTTCAAAAATGTCTAAACAATGTTAGTAACCCACGTTTTAGAAACCGAATTTGTAACTACCCACTCAATGCATCAAATTATTTTAAAGACAAACAACACATATTATATACTTGAATTATTACTATGACTTTTAATGATTAGGAAAAATATTACCGTTTATTATAATTTAGATTGCATTTGTTTTAAAGAAAAATTAAAATCAAGAAAAGTAATTATTCATTAGTGAAGTGAATCATTACGTTTGTTTTCTTTACATACAGAAGACAACTGGAACAAAACTAAAAAATTTAATGAAAGGGTTTATGGATTTTATAACAAATATACACTATATTTTTAGAATTTTGGAATCTGTTTTTTGACAACATTATGTTGACTTTTTATTATATTTAATTGAATAATCAAATCCATGAAACACGATTTTAATCACAAAGCATAATGAAACAGAAGACAATTTGCCTTGATCAAAAATCGCTCCATATTAACCCACTTGTGACACTCTAAGCACGTGACCCATAGCTTTTAAGAAACACTGATCTTGTCCAAACACTGATATTTGGCTCAGAGAATAGAGCAACCGCTTTCCAATGAGGTAAAACGGGTTTAAATCCCAACGATGGCTGGTCAATACGAATTCCGCATCCGGCTTGCACCGACCACAATGCTAACGTGAGATATCCTCAGTAGTAGACGGATCATGGGTTAGAGTCTGTTTGTCGTCAGGCTAACCGTGAGAGGTTTTCGAGATTTTCCTCTCCGTGTAACGCAAATGCGGGTTAGTTCCATCGAAGTCAAATTTCTCACAATACTTAACACAGGAGTCCCCTTGTCTTCTGGATTGGGTTCAAAGTGTCAAGGCTACGGAGTTGAACATTAGAAGTCGTAAACCGATAAAATTGTGTTGGCTGCTCAACGACGGTTATAAAATAAAATTAAACACCGATCTTGCCCTCTTAATATTAAGAGTGTTTCGTAATATTTATTTTCAGAATTCATCTAAAACTTAAAGTCAATACATTGGGGTCACAAATTGATATGTAGACCATGAAGAAACAAAAACGCTTATCAATATCTATGGAAATACTTTTAAACGAGGCATGGAAACCTGTATGATTGCCGGATGAAACAAAGGATTTAACATTAAATTTGTTGAAACGTCTCAAAGTTTCATCCTGCAATAAATCTGGTTTTGATGCTCTTCAATCCACTTTCCTCGAAAATTATTCGACAGATTTCCTTAACGTTTTTATTTCTTTCTCGCTCAGTTATGATTCTTCGACCCCTTGTGTGTATACTCTTTTGAATTTGTTTTACAAGGATTCCAGAAATGTATTTTAATAAGGGTAGTATTTGCAAAACACCTTTTGTACTTTGGGAGATCAACAAATCGCAATTTAGAGCCACGGTGAAACTAAAGAAAGCAGCATGCACAGCTGCCTAATTGCAATTTAGTAAAGTGTTATTTATATGACACGCATATTCATGATATTCACTCGCAACAAACATTTTTATAACTCTCAGAATTATAAAATTAATCGAATTCTCCTGTTGTTACATTTTTGACGCACACCTTCAGTCCGTGGTCATATTATTAGACTCACTATAAGATTCTATGTGAAATCTTAATTTTCAGGCGATACTATACAGCTTTATTGTTTAGAAGCTACTCAAACCTGTTTGCACTTGTTTATGTTCGTGTATCAATTGGTTAACATTGTAATGCAATACGTTAAAAAAATAATATTAATGCAAACAGGAAGTATATAAAAATTCTCTTGCATAAAAACCCATTACACGTGTGTTTAAATATAAAAGTATTGCCTATAAACTCGAGCAAAACATTCAGTTATTAAAACGCTACAGTGCGTCGAATAATTTGGTCTAATTATTATAATATATTAATATAATACCTGATATGATAAATATTCTATATTTATATAATATATCGTCCAATTTATTCAGTCGTCTAATTTACATTATATATAGTCTAATTTAACCCATTGATACACTGCCGTAAACAAGTACAAACCGGTTTCAGTCGCGTAGAAACAATAAAACTGTAAAGTATCACCTGATAATTAAGATTTCACATAGAATCTTAAAGTGCGTTTAGTAATTTGTCCAGATACTGTACAAGCTAAATATGTGATGACATCTCCATGAAAAAGTTGAGTAAACTTACTAATAGAATGAAGTAACATAAAAAGGTCTACTTACTACTAGCAATGTACGGATGACACGGATCGGGGGAGGCAGGTGGTGTGACGGGGGCTGTTGTACCTTCTGATGGACTAGAGGGCTCTCTGTACCCCCAACGGGCGACATAGTCAGCGGGTTTTACTTTCTTCACCAGAAAGGAACGTGGCATTTTTTAGAAAGTACACAATTTCAATGTCAGATAATTTCTCTTCATAATTCAGGAATATTCTGGACCCATAGGACATGAATTTAAACCCAAGAAGCCATCTAGTGATGATGATGTCCGAAAAAAATTCATTTCATATTGTTTAAGTCCAATTAATAAACAAACAAAATCACGTGTCGGTTTAAATTTATATATTTTTTTAGTGATGCATGTTTTCCACCCCAAATAATAGTTTTGAAATTCTAACGTGGGTGATGAGACACGTGATGAAATACGGGAATTAAAAAAGGTTCGAAAAGTCGGGGAGAAGCAGTCACAGGTGTTGTTGTGGCACCTGTAGGGGGGGCATGACTCCCTGCAACAGCATGGAGGGGTGTCTGAGGCTTCACTACAACTCGTCGGTGCGTGGCAGGAAAGCCAGGCACCAGGAGTTTCATTGGTACTGCCCTCTGTTGGGAAGATGAGCAAACAGAGAGGGTTGGAATTTTATTTCTTTTTCTGAAGATGAGGACTTTTGATTGGTTTAGAGCACCAGGGGAGTTTCCAAACAAAACAACTGGTTGATTTTACCGGAAAGCCGCATGCTCGTTAGTTGCTTTAAGGTGGATTTCAGTTTCAGAAACTTTGCAAACCAAGTGTTGAGAAAGTGTACTCAACATACTTTAAGAAAAAAAATATAAATTTACTTTTTTATTATTTTCTTACACCAAATAAGGGAGAAATTAGTCTCTTTTTTTTTACGTAAAATATTTTTTAAGGAAAATTAATGAAATCCATTAGCGACCAAAGACATAAAAAATACACTGAATTCTTTATAGTTTTGACGAAAAAATTTCTCCCTGCAATAATTTTTTATTTATTTGAGCTCTTTCTTTAGTATTTTGGTATTGGAGAGCGCCACTTTCAACAAAACCTTTGGTTCCTGCTGTGGAATTTTTCTCCCACATCCATTACTACATATGCAGTAACACTAAGAAAAAAATGTCTCAAAAAATCTTAAAATAAAATATGGAAGGAAAAACTAATTATTTGATATAACAGTTTGGAAAATGATTTTCAAATTAATACCAATTTTGGGATAGTATTGTGCTTCAGTAAACGGATCAATTTGTATGAGTTAAATCCAGTCCTTAAAGTAGATGAAAAAGTTCTAAACTCTTTACATAGTTTCAACTAAAATAATTTCCTCGATTTCTATAACTCAGTTAAAGCCATAAGAATAAGTGCTGACTTCCATTATAACTTCTTTACTACGTCAGGAAGATGACACGGAGCGTAGCGTTTTTGAAAAGTGCTTAAAGGTTCTTATTTTTGATTTACATTTTTTAAAAGCCTTTAAAGGTGCTTTTTTTATTCGGGGCTCGTAAAAAGTGCTTAATTTTCTATCTCTTAAAAAAAAAAAATTTCTTTCCGTGTTGATTGTCGTTCTAAATTACAAAAAATTCATGATTTTCAAAATTTTTCTCTGCAATATTTATCAGAAACTAATTATTTTATCATGATTATGTGAAGTTGTGGAAAATGCTGATACTATGTTCATAAATTGAATTTTTTAGATATTATGTTCATAAATTAAGAACGTTATGACAGAAAAAATAATTTTTATTGCTGCACAGATTCTAATTATGATTTTTTTTTTGGAAACTGATTAAAAACATTTTTGAGGGCTTAAAAAGTACTTAAAAGGTACTTATTTTTTGTTGAAAAATCTGGCTACCCATACTGTTATAGTTTTGGTGAAACTGTTGGAGTTGATCCTTCTACAATTATTGTTTCATTTGGACTTTTTCTCTAGTATTTTGTTGAGGGTTACTTTCCACAAAAAGAAGTTAATGAGAAAGAAAATTTAAAAGTCATCAAATTAAAGTTCGAACTAATTTATTGATTGTTTAGAGCATAGTAACTTTGACTTTTAAAACAATGGCTTCGCAATGTACTTCAATAAATGAATAAAACTGTGAAGTTAAAAAAGTAGATGAACATTCAAAAATGTTTTTATTCAAAATAATTTTACCTTCGATATCAACTTTAAATAAAAATTATCAATTTGATACTAATTTATTAAAAAAATAGCATGCTTCAAAAACAATGTATGAAAACTTCCTATAAATTGGTTTCTCGGGTTATTTATATATTTGCTAGTTAAAAAAGTTTCACGATATTTCGGCTACTCTGTTTATGACAATAAAAAAAATACTCTAGCTGCTTTAAAATACATAATCATGCTTTTTTTGTACTTTTTCTCAAAATTCAAATAAATATATTAATAAATAGAAGTAAAAAAAATTTTTTTATAGAAATAAAAGGAGTTCTGCTTCTTTAACCAGTTTCATTTGATATTTAGTCAAATTTTTGATAAACAGTTTATATGTAGAAGCACGTTGTTATTAATCTGTCTGGAAAAAAATCTATACAAGACGCATTTTTACTTTTCCAGTACAAAAAGTACATATTTGTGTGTTGCTTAAAAAAGAGTGAGTAGATTATAAAAGTGGGATTTATAGTAAACATTAAACCTACTGTTAATTGAATTTATCGTCTTTTACTTAATGTAACAGATAAGCAGGAATACAAATACAGCGAGAGAATAAAGCAGTTATTATGTTTGACTAAACTCTCATAAGCTATTAGTCTAAACCAGGGGTGTCAAACTCGCGAGCCGTATGCGGCCTGAGATGAACATTTTTGCGGCCCAGTCAATATATCCGACGCAAAGTAAAAATAAAATAGAAATGTGAATTAGAAAGGAAACTAGCATATAAAATTATAATATACTTTATTTATAAACTATTCGGATAATTTTAAATTGTACACGCGAAAATGTAACATTCTAATTGGCTTGCGGCACCTGCCCTTCCAGGAATACTGCATCGAATCAAAAATATGTAGAAAAAATTTCAAATCTTAGAACAAAATTTGAAACAAGGTTTAAAGATTTTAATTCTTTGGAAGTCAAATTTTGTTTGTTTTATTCGATTTTCTCAATAAATATAGACTCAGTACCCAGTTATATGCAAATGGAAGTGATTGAAATTCAGTGCGACTCAAATTTGAAGGCAAAATTCATTGAAGTGGGTGTGCCTAAATTTTACAAATATTTACCGGCAAGGTTTGAAAATACTCGAAAATTCGCAAATGAAATTATTTCCATGTTTGGAAGTACTTATCAGTGTGAGCAATTATTTTCTGTTATGAATGGAAATAAATCTCCTGTCCGAAACCGTATTAATAACGCTCACGTTGGGTCAATTTTGAAAGTAGTCTCGGCCAATAAAATTTCTCCCGACATAGGAGAGATAGTAGCAGAGAAGAAGTATCAAACAATAATTTAACTTTATATATGTTTATTATAATGTACTATTCAAAATAAAAATATTTGTTTCTATGAACATTGATTTTTTTTTTGTGGCCCACCTAAAGTTAAGTATTGTTTATTTGGCCCAAGTTAGCTTTTGAGTTTGATATCCCTGGTCTAAACTATCTCTAAACAAAAAGCGATAATTTAAACACCAACTTTTTAAAGAAATCAAAACGATAAGATAGAAGGAGAAAATGAGTTGAAACTTGTAAATTAATACGAGGGTTGTTTTTTTAAGTAAGTGCCGTTTTGTTGTGTACACTAATAGGTGAGGGGTGAGTCGCAACGAGTACTTCTGTCGTGTCCCTTTGAGAAACTGTGCTTAGTTGCATCGGTGTAGGTAAACTATACGATCAGTTCTGTGTCTTTAAAATGTTCAAATTTAACAAACGAGATATGGTCAGTGACGCGTTTTTAGTCGACAAAAAGAAAACGGGTCTGCTGCATACATCATTCATCGTCAGATTTGTGAAGTAACATAAGTCGCTGCCTGGCTGACAGAGAATTTTGCTACTCTATGACAATGACTCTCTCTGCAGCTCAGATCCCAGCTTTATTGGACTCTTCTGGTTGGGAAGGAAGTTTTGGACCATCCCTCTCTACTGGCCAGACCTTGCACTCAGTGATTTTCCTTTTTTTCGATATTTGAAGCATAATTTTGGCAGCAGTCACTACAACGATAACGAATGCGTGAAAACGGCCATGATCTCTTGGTTAACGCAGCAGGTGTTAAGTATGTATGAAGAGGATATTCTAAATCTAGTTGTAAGGTATGATAAGTGTTTAACAAAAACGCCAACTATGCTGAAAAAGGAGAAACGCATGTAGTATCTGAAAATAAAATTTCTTCTTGAAAATTTTCTTTCGCTTGGTTTTTATTTTCAAAAGGCCCTTACTTAAACAAACAACCCTCGTATTAGATTAATATCATTTATGGAGCGGAGGGGGGGGGAATTTAAGCAAAGTAAAAATATAAATTAATTTTATTTTGAAGTTGATATAAGGTAATTTTTCAAAAGATGGGAACAAGACACGGTCTCAAAATTTAAATTCTGGCATTAAAATTTAAAATTTATTTTCAAAAAAAAAAAAATATTGATTAAATGTATAATTCTGTCTAGTAGCAAGAATTGTCATAAATTATTGGTAAAATTTTTTTATGAATGCCTTAAAAAATTATTAACCTTAAAGGGTCAATTTCGAACATTCATAAAGTAACTGAGTAAACAAATACAATACCAAAAAGACTTTTCTTAGTAGTTCTCGGATATTTAAAAACAGAAATAAAATTTTGATTGGATATAAATTTAAACAAAAAAAACTTTATTTTTTAGAAGGATACTTGATTTTATAGACGATTATATCCTTAACGTTCTCGATAATATACTTATGAAGGTTAGATAAATTATATTTCACTGTGCAAAAAATATTTTGAAAAAGGAATCCTTTTCATGCAGGTCCAAATAGATCGAAACAATGCTCTTATCTCAACAAAAAATAGCAATTACTTTAAACTAATTATTTATTCTTAATATAATTTCATGTACTTTTTTCGGTTTTCATGTAATAATTTTGCTACAAAATGGCAATTCCTTTCATGCAAAATATTTCTGCAACAAAATGTTATTTTCTTGTACACGCAATA